TTATAATAACAACTTAAAGTCAGATAATTCCTCTAGAATAAATTATGCTTCCTACACTTATCCGCTACTCCATTCTATACATTCATCGATAGTAACCTTCTGAGCCTACAATAGAGTAATCCATCATACTTATGCTTATTTAATAGTATAGCATTCTTGAACCTTCCCATATTCGAGCCTTATTTTATCACCTCAACTTCTCTTTTTCCAATTCTTCCCTTTACCCTTCTTAGGCATGAGTCGATAAGTAATTCGAGATAATTTAGCAACCCGCTTAGTCCATTGTTTAAACGAAGAAAATGCGGGTTTAGAAGAATCTCTTCACATAAAATTATTGTGAAGACTTTCATTTCACATAAAGGTGCAGTAAGAAGAGATTTGTAGGCCAATTTAACCGGAAAACACCGGCTGATTCGCGTTGTACTGCAGCCGTTTGGCCTTAATACGACATTCAGGTTGATGCAGTCCACGAGACCTCATCCGACGCTTCGGGCGAAGACGGGCTGAGATTGTGTTCATCATATGAAGTACATCGTCAGAGCTGACACTCATTCTTGCAAAAGCCTCAAGTTAACACTAAGTCAAGAAGAATAACCGGTTTTTTCCAGATCTTATATATACCCATATAAGAAAAGGCCGGTCAGTCTTCTAGACTTATTGTTAGGCTGAGGATTTTTTTCAAGGATGAGTCTCAGCTCTGACGATGTTCATCATATGACGAACGAAATCTCAGCCTATCTTCTGATGAGATTGACCAACGAATCTCTTTATCATGTACTTTCATACGAAATGAAATTTTCACAATAATTAATTCATACTTAACTACTAACCTGTATTCCTGGCCTGGCGACTTTAATAGTCTCTCTTAATATGCGTTTAACTGCAGACTTAGCATGATCATTAAACTGACAATGTCGAGTCTATTCTATCTCTTCTCCATTTTCTCTCGTCTGTTCTGTTGAACTCAACATATTATGCAGGCACTTTTGTGTTCATCCACCTTTAGTCGAATAGGTCGAAGGTCCCTCCAGCACAAGTGCTACCTCATTAAGACTCACCTCTGTTTGATTGCAGAATGATAGAGATAATGGATTAACTTCCTCTCTAAAACCCGGCACACCTGAAGAAGATGTCTGTCCTTCGACAGGAAACGGTAGGCATGCAACTAACTCATTGCAAAGAGATTGCTCTGAAGACAACGTCAACTAAATATATCCAACTTCTGCTGGCCGAGAGAAATACACCGTGGTCTTCTTAAGTGATAGACCGTCGATCATCTTCCTCACAGCAAACATTGTGGATCACGAGGTTTCTCCAAAATCAACTCATCTTTGTCTTTACCACGTAGTTATGGAACACATTTTTTTCACCCACTCGATGCTAGTGCTAAGAGACATTTCTGTGAGCTTTAGCCAAGCTGCCTTCTTCCCTTGGTCCAATTAAAGACCGAATGGGCACAACTGCCATGCTGCCTGCTTCAAACATTTACAGAGATCAAATGCAGAATTATTTTTAATCATTTGTCACTAAGCAACCTTTGCTGATGCCTTTATCACGCATAAAGCAAAAGCCCTCTCATCACCACCGAAACTTTACGTGTTTCCATAGTATTCGGAATTTAGTTTCTCAAGAAAGTTCAGTCCCATATTTGGCATGAAACTATTATGGGCATCTAAAAAGCTCATTCTTTCAAATGAATGCGCACAGCGTCATTTATCCCCTACCCACCTCCAGTCTGTCGTTGATGTAGTTGTAGTTGTTGTTGATGTTGCTGTTGACGATGTTGCATTTGCATCTGTTGGAAGGAATTCAGGCGGCCTCCGGCACTAGAGAAGAGCCAGCCTCTATTTGTGGAATCAGCTCGTGTTGGCAGACCAACAGAGGTCCCCATCGACGACAGATGCCCGGCCCGCCAGACCGCCGTCTGCTCGTCGGGGCCGTCAGGCTCGAAGGTCTCATCCTCGCTGACGACTTGTACCACCAAACTGGCCGTACTTGAACGGGCCGGTTGACCAGAATCACGGGCGACCACCAAAAGTTTTACGGTCTGGCCACTCCGGCACTCGGCGATCGGATGCACCAGAAAGACCTGGCCACTGTGACTGTCGATGTCAAAGTGGTCCGGCGTTGGGTCGCTCTGCAGTCTGGCCGTCGGAGATGCGACCAGCCCTGGCGACGATAAAGGTGCAGGAGAGACGGTTGACAAGACAACGGGTGGTACAGTGGCCACGGCAACTGGGAAGAACGAGGCTGATGGGGACGATGAGGCTGTCGTCTGTGGTCCCGAGGAGTTGAGCGGGGCCAAACTCTCTCCGGTACCACCGGATTCCTGATCCACCAGCGACCTCACCGAGGCCTGTTGCAATTCGCGACTTCCAAGGTTACTTTTCTGCTGATCATCAGCATCTGCTTATGTCGGGAAATGGAATAGTAACAATTGACTACAACACATGTTTGGTGAGTAAGTCTCAAAGTTTATACATCTTCATATTCTATTTAATTAACCGAATCAACGTCATTTAGTGTAAGTATTTTTAAAAATTATCTTTGTTTCTTGAATAAAGGCTTATTCATCCTAGGTCTCTTAAGATGATTTAAAAAGTGAACTTAAAATTTGACAAATATTCAAGGAGTTGCCCTAAAATAGCTTTAACTGCGACTTGGTAGGCCTTCCAAAAGTCTGTATGGCAGTTTTAACCTCATTTGGGACTTATCAACACCTCTAACTGGAGTAGAATCCCACCCGCCTGGTGAAGTTATTCGAAGGTCGATTCCACCAGAAGACGATGGCGGATTCCTCTTGATTGGCATCACCGGAACACTATTTATGACGCTATTTCCGAGGTAATCTCCTTCGATTCCGGTGAAAGGGTGCCAAGCTTGCGTCTGTCATATGACGAACATCATCAGAGCAAGTTATCATCGTCACAACCAAATTCAAGTTAACGATTTTTCGTATGTTACTAGAGTTTCGAGACTACCAGGAAATATGTAATCTGAGATGTATTCACCCAATTTGGTTTAAGGTGATGAAGGACTGGTAGAAGAATTTTTCCACAATCATATAAGTAGAGCTGACGTTTCCATTGAATTTCACATAGCCTTTCTTTCCCATAAGTTATTCTCATCCAGAGTGGACTGCAGTTTCGACCTCGCATAGGTCTTATCAACACCCCCAGTGGAAGTCGAACCGTGACAATGCAGAATGTGAGCTTGACACGTTAAAAACTCGGCCTTTTGGAAAAGCAAGGCTATATGAAATCAATGAAAATCTCAGCTCTACTCATATCATTGTGGGAACGAAATTGGGTGAATACATCTCATATTTCAAGCTAACGAGTCAAGAAAACTCACCGCCAAGTTCTTAAAAAGCCATATATATATATATCCTCTATATATGGTCTCTTTGATGATGAATAAAGTTATTTGGTTAGTTACCGTCATATGACAACCTCAAAGCTTGTGAGTGTGTCTGTCGCTGTATGTGCATATGCCTGCTTGTGTGTGCTCTTGCTCAACCAGAGTGATGGTTATAACATATATGTAGAAAGGGGAAGATAGTGTTCATCAAACCTTGATGGTCGAGAATAGACATTACATTTTATCTTCTAATTACTTTGAGCCTCCTTTTTGCAATCCCCTTTTTATCATTACCGTTTTTATCATTAAGTCTATTAGTAAAGCACAAGTAATTTTTACTTATCTTCTTGGCGGTATTCCTTAGATTCAGTGTATTTTCTATTTGGTTTATTTTGATGGCTTCTCTAACTTTACGTTTAACCGCAGACATGCCATAATCAGCAAAACGAGAAGTTTGAGACCATTAAATCTTGTGTCCCGTTTCTGCCCTGTGTTCAACCAGCTCCGATTTTTAAATCCAACAGCCTTTGCAGGCGCTTTTGTGCTTAGCCAACTTTTGTCTAATGGGACGCTAAGTCCCTCCAACATAAAAGCGATCACATGAACACATTATGTTCTACCAACCCGATCTCGATAATAGGTCAAATTTCTCTTTAAGAGTGGGAATAACTGAAGAAAGTGTCTTAGTTTCCCTGAGAACGGTTTTTATTCCCCAAACTTACAGGCTTCGAGGTTGTCATATGACCGTAAGTAACCAAATCACTTTATACCTTATCAAAGAGGCCAGATTTAGAGTATATATCCGGAGCTTTTTAAGGATTTTCCGGTGAATTTTTTGGACTCGTTAGGTTGAATTTGGTTGTGACGATGATACCGTGCTCCGATGATGTTCTTCATGTGACAGACGAAAGCTTAGTTCGTTTTCACCGAAAGTAAAGGAGATTACTTCGGAAACAGCGTCAGCATGAATGTTATAGTAAAGACAATCGACAGCTGGTCAAGAGGAATCCGTCGTCATCTTCTGGTGGAATCGACCTCCGAATCTCTTCAACAAACATTTTCATTCGAAATGGAAGTAAACTCAACAATTATGAAACAAGAGATTCCTCTAAATCAAACTTTTCTTCACCAGTCACCATTTGCCCATTCTGCCATTAATGTCATTTGATGATAGGACAGAAGCGGCCTTCAAAGCAAGCGAAGCCTCTCCAATATCACACTTGTATGATGGGATTATAGCTTAAGAAAACATGGAGTTGCCATTAAAGGCAATAATATTACTTATCTTTGAATTCAATAGGGTTTCAAGAATATAAGCAGTCCTTCATCAGCTAAAGCTTCGATTTAAGATTTACTGATAAGTTCGAAATTCTACTTATTTCGAATGCAAGTAATGTTTTCCATTATAATGGCAAATGCATGTATGCACTATCAGTTCATCATAACCTTAAATGACATAGGCTGACTAACGCTAATATTAAAGATCTACGCACAGTCTCGATATACTACTTACTTTCAATACTTTATACATGCTCAATAACCCGAGGCCGCAAAATGTGATTGAAAGACTGATAGTGGAATTTTCCCTCGATGATGGGAGTAGGTCTCACGACGTCATGTAATTTATTTTAGGTGAGGCCGATTCTATGATCCGGTCTGGGTGTGAAAACCGTTTAGAGGCAAGACTAATCAGCATTCAAGGGTATCATGAGGCCTATTTATTTCATTCAAGGTAACTTACATCATGAATCCTTCACTAAACTACTCATGTACTTACAAAGAATCGAGCGTCAGATATAGACTCATAGTTTACATTCGGAAACTTTATGCTCGGCGCAAACATTTTCCTTGGAACTAACATAG